AACCATTATTAGTGGAGCTATTGCTCTCAAAAGATGCTCTATCTTCCCCAGTACAGCATGCCTCAGCCTGGCCCCAGCGAGGCTGTGCCTGGAGGAGCAAGGGACGCCAGTGAGCTCCGAACTGAGCATCTCCATCGGGATGGCCACGCTGGTGACAGCCGTTCATACGGACGTGAGTCACCAGCCCACGAGGTGTCTCGCCAGCCTGGTGTTGGCTCACAGCTACCAGCGTCTCCCAGTCTGGAGTGGTTCCTGGGATGAGCCGCTGAAGCACAGCAGGCATGCTGGAGACAGGTCCTGGGCTTTCGAAGGACTCCTGACCCGCTCAAAGCAGAGTCAGTGCACAAGGCAAAAAGGTTGGAAAGGGATGTTCTGTGCGTGCCATTAATTTTGGCTGTGCGTATACATGTATGGCTGTTCACGTGGTTTCAGAGGCACTTGCACCGCAGCTGGGAGATAGAAATGCTGCAAGCTTACCCAGCTTACCCTGAGCTGTCTGGGTAGCAAGAGTTACTTAAGAAGTGGTAACATGGGCACCCAGATGGGTTAACCACCCAAACACCTACAGATGAGCACGGTGCTGACCCCCATGTCTCTCCCTGGCTCTTCCCAATCAGGCTCAGTGCTCCTCGGGGAGAAGGTTAGAAACAAAAGGCCCAGTTATTTCCTACGATCAAATTTCAGAGCCCTCCAGACCCCACAGACAGCCCTGCTACGAGCCTCGGATGAGCTCTATTTCTGCAATAACTCTTCCAGAGAGAAAGAATTAGGAGGCTTAACACTTTCGGATGACAGTTGCCGGAGCCGCTGTCAGATAACAGGCACCGGCAGCCGGCACAGGAGCCGGGAGCGAGCCAGGCCGCTTGATTCAGCCAGCCCGGAAAAAAGCTGTGTTTATAAAAACCCACATGAAAAGGAACGAATTGCCAATTACGCATAAGTCTTTAAATAAAGCAACGCAAACCTTTCGTGTGCAACAGACAAATGATACACGGTCACAGGGAAATAATATAACAGATAGGGAGGCTGAAAGCGGGGAATGTGAGCAAATCCATTTTCCAGAAGCAAGAAAAGGGACTCGCTTGCTGAAAAGGATTAGCTGGATAAAGCCAAACACTTTAAAAAAACCCCCTGTATTAGCAACTAAACATGCATCAGACAGAAACAGCAAAAAAACCTAGATTGTAACAAGATCCAAGGAGCCACGCTCTGCTCCTGCTCAGGAAGAAAACGCTGTCAAAAAAATGTCCCATGTAAACTTGCCACACACACCAGATCATCAACAGGCATTTATCAAATGAAATACATACCAAATGCAACTCTTCTTCCTAATCCCAAGTCAAACAGGCTTTGAGTTTCAGACCCTCAGGAAGAGATTTCCATATGATCCTCCTCTGTCTCCATTTATGATTAGCCCTTCTAAATTTCAGCATTTATCTGACAAAACACATTGGGGAGGGCTTTCTTTTATCTGCAAAGCCTGTGTTTCTGCTTTTCCTTAGCTCCTGCTGTACCACTCTGCAGCCGCTCAACTTGGGAGGAAAAGACTTTAGTCAAGACCCTTTGATTGACTAAGCCCAGGATCACTTTCCTGATGGTGGTAACACCAAGCCCTTGCATTACGTGCCAACACCGAAGCAAGCCAGCAGTCACAGAAGGGGTTATAAATGCTGCCTCTGAGCCAAAATCTTACTTTTGGGGCTCAGTAATGCAAATAAAACATATGTGCATGGGGGGTCCCACTGGCAATAGCTGTGTGGCCAGTCTGAGGTGTCTTTGTAGTTTTGGGAGAGAATTTGTGGCGTCAAAACATTTCAATCTGGTCTGGCGGAGTTGTCGCACAGAGCCAAGGCTGACTCCGCAGGAGCAGTTACCTCTTGCTGTCCTCCTGCAGCCTGAGGTATGGTCCTCGTTAACCATCAGTTGATATGTTTCGAATGAGATATTCGTAACCCCTCCGAGTCTGATCACAGCTAATTCGCAGACAAAAAAGGGAGTACATTTGCTTAATACACTGCTTTTTGCAAACACCCTGATCATTCCCAGATGCATCTGTTTCTGCCCAGCAGCACTCGAGGCAGCAGGAGAGGAAATAATTTCAGCTCCCCAGAGTCACTGGTCTACGCAGTTTCAAGATGCTCCAGGTGCCCTCCTGCATCCATTTGAGGGACCTGTACCCATCTCCCTCCTTCGATCAGACCCAGCTTCTTCTGCTGTTTTTTTCCACACCAAAATACAGCAGCAAGATCCCTGAACCCTTCTCTAAGCAGAGCACTTGATATCACACACACAAGCGCTGTAAGGCTGCGTAAAGGCAGATCCAGGTGAGGATGTCATTTCGCTCTCACCCATGGCAGAGAAATCAGTTCTACTGATTCCCAGCGGTCTCTCCTAAACTTGCCATAGCAGTGTGAAATTAGCTATGGAAAAGCTTCCAGGAAAGGTTGAGGTTGGTGGGAAGGAAGAAATTTCACACAAGAATTTAAGAGCCTGGCTCCCAAGCAATTCAAGCCAATGCAGGTCTAGATGTTAAGGCCCAACACAGCTATGGAGGAACATCTTTCATGGCATACACCAACAAATCAGACCTCCATTTCAGCCCGTGGCCAGACACCCACAGAAAAATACAGCTTTGAAGTGACAGCCAGAAGCTCAGGGTTGGATGCACATTTTATTTACAGCTTCTTAGTCAGTTCAGCTATGAGATAAAGTAATAATAAAAATAACGGTGCTCAGAACTTACAAAGCAACTTTTATCTGAAATCTCACCACAAGTTACAAACGATACAGGTCAGTTGGTGAGACTTCGCCTGGCAAAGCGCATGTTGCTCCTGGAGGGACCCTAGTCATTTGGGGACCGGCCGGGACAAAGCGCTACTCATCTGGGTATAGCATCAACCCGCTCCTGCCCCGAGCGCAGCAGCCCTAGGACCACCCCAAAGCTGGTGGCTTTGCCCATGCTTTACAGGCAGGCAAACCAAAGCGTTGTGCCCACGTCTGCAAAGAGTATCAATACTGGCGACATACTCGAACGCAAACATCCTCTTCCTCTGTCGTCTTCTCCACCCAAAAGTGTTTTATTTACAATTGCCCTGAGTAGAGGCTACCTCACAGCATTGAAAAGCCACATTTAACCATCGGAGCATTTGAGATGCCTCAAGGGACAATCTTGTACACATAGGGGCATGGTGGTACTCAGAGATCTAGGTCAACCTGCACGCAACAGAGGTTACTGCTTTTTCTGGGCATGAATTTTTCATAATCACCCCTCCTGGCTTTCCCCATTCGTATGTTACTTGAAAACAGCAAAACAATTTATTGTACGAATAAAATTCAACCATGGGTCACTTGCAAACTAGTTAGTGTGATTTACGGAGCAATTCGCTTCCTATATTGATTATGAGAAATTCCCATTGAAGGTATGATCAAACACTTGAAAAAGATAATATTACGTGATCTTGTTTCCGCTCACTCTGAAGTGGACACAGAGCTTCCTAAACCAGCCTCCTCAACTGTCATCTTCACTGTGGTTTTTTTGTGTTACTGATAAAAACCCCAAATAAGCAGGTTGGCCAGGGCAGCTCATATAGATTTCCCGCAGTATATTTTAAACTGTGATTATTAATATTGTCAGCAGTGCTTTAGCAGAGCTGTTCTCCAATAGCCTATTCATTTTTAATTGAACTAAGAAAAATTTGAAAAGGCATTTATATGAAATAGGAAGCCACGTGCTGCGTCCTTGTGATGAAGGTGGCTGAACTTCCCCCAGCCAGCTGCTAAGCATCAGAGAGCCCTTGCAGCCTGGCGCAGGGATGCTCTTCGTGCAGAGACCATTGGTATGGTATTTTGTTTTAGTTAGTCATCCTGATTTAGCTCTTCTCATTCCAGCCCTGGCCTGGCTTGTTCATGGTTATCCAGGCACTCTCTGACCGCACCGAGTGTCACGGGGAGCTGAGGGATTTCACCTCCTCTGTGACAACGTGCTTGAAAAAACGTTATCCATTAACATTTTATTAATGGTATTTTTAAGCAACTTTTAAGAAAGCGAGACTGAATGTGCTTCTGGCGATTCAAGTCTCCTTCAGCAATCCCCATTCGGGTTTGCCAGTGCTGGATAGGATCCAGCCCCCCTCCCAGCTTATCAGCTGCAGCCGGGGGATTTGGGCTCTATGGGAAGTTTCATTTCCTGCTTCTTGGGCTGCCTGTGGCTGGCCATCAACGTTTGTAAAAGGAAAGACATTCTTCTAATTCTTGTTATTAACCCGTTGGTGATCTCTGAGACATGAGCCAAAACTGTCAGAAAAGTGCAGGATGCTGCAGCTTCCATCAGCCCATCATTACACAGCCAGCACCAGACTCATTTTTCCTAATTGTCCATTTTTTAAAAAAATAAAAAACAAGGCAGATGGAGCACAGACTTATTGCAATGCATATCTGTGTTTGACACATGATTTACAACCTCTGTAATGTCTCAAGCAACGCCTGCCTGTGGGACCACCACCGCAGCCTCTTCTGCTGCCGGCTGCGTTCCTGGTGCAGGTGGGTGCATGGGGCACAGCCGCCTCCGGCATGGACCCCGGCATCGTACCCCAGCAATTTAGGATGGCAAGTAAAGAAGATATTAAAAAAAATGCTGGAGGCATTTTAAGCAGATACAATACATTTCTCAAAGCTAAGCAACACCTCAAAAAATAGCTAAAAGTGATACAGTAACAGTGTCAAAAATGACCAGAGCTGCTTGGTGCTTTTCTCTCTCCCTGGCAGTGACTGGGACAGTTTTGGCACAGATTAAAGCAAAATATGTCCTAAATTAGTCCTTCGCACAGATATATCTTTGCAGATCCTTCCCACCCAGCACTAACGCAGCTTCCCTGAGCTCTGCAGGCAACCGCAACGTGAAGTTGCTGAGAAAACCAGCTGAAAACCCTTTTCTCTCCCCACCCCGGGTGAAAATCCGCAGCCGTAGCAAACTATCGGGTGGCAAAACGTGCAGTTCCTACCTGAACGAGGAGCTCCAGCTTTCTGTCGTCGAGGAGGTGCACTTGGCATCTGCGGCCCTCCGTCATCTGCAAGAAAGAAGAGGCACGCGTGTCAGGGTGCTCGGCTCTCCAGCTCGGCAAGAGGCTGCTGGCTCCCCCAGCACAAGCTGGAGGCTTTCATTCCCTGCTGTGTTTCGCTTTCTGGTTTTGTTTTTTCTTTTTTTGTTAATTAATCCCCCTTCTTTTGGCACCAGGGGCAAGAAAAGGCTGGAAGGAGAAAAAGAAAAGCCACCCCGGGAGCTGTCACGGAGCAGCGTGTGGCGTCTGCTTGGACGCAGCTGGCGGGAGGAGGTCGTTCCAGTGTGAAAAAATGGGGCCGGGGAGATGGTTCACAGCACCGGGGCCCCGATGTTTCATACCGCAGCCTCTGGCTTTGCAGCTGGCTTGGCCGGCGGAGGAGACATCCAGACAAGTTTCCCCCAAACCCCTCAGCAGTGATTCAACCATCCCGGAGGTAGCGCAGAGCAAGCAAGGCTCCTCCCTGGGCTGTGCTGAGGGTGCTCCCTGGGGTTACACCAGCTGCTTGTTTGGGCCTGAATCCCAAAATAGGCTTGTCCTACTTGGGGTGTCCTGTTTAAGATATACCAGAAGAGCCACTTGTGATATTACTATACCACGCCAGAGGTGCTTCCATACCAATATAGTTTATTACGACTTAACAAATAATATCAATAAAACTTTTAGGTATAGAAGACTTATAGAAGACTTCCAAGGTCCTGTAGATTGGGATGCCAAGAAATAAATGAGCCGTGGCCTGAGGAAACTCCTCGACAGTCAGTGAAGCCCTCTCCTGGCTCTCCTCTTGCAGAGAGCACCGTAAGCGAGGAGCAACTTTGCTTTGCAGAGTTATGGATCCCGACTCAGCCCTGCAAAGCCCTTCAGCACGCACAGGCACAGGCACAATCCCGCTATCTCCTAATGGGATATGGACTGCCTAAGCCTCTTTGGCTCTTGGAAATCCCTTCCTCAGCACGACTTAGGCAGCACACAGGCAGCCCCCCTGGTGTGGGCTCACCCCACAGCTCTCATGCCTGCCCGGACCCACAGAAGCACGGACCCAGCTCAGCCCCGCAGTGTGGCTCAGGCCCCCTGGGACCCACCACCCTCCAGCCAAGGCACCTTCCTGAGAACTGCGTGGATCTCCAGCTCAACTTAATGATATTTCTTGCCATGGCAAGTCCTAAAGCATCACCAGAAGGGAGCAGAGGGTCCACGGGAGCCTGGTAGGGGGAGTAAGGGCTGTCGGGGATGAAGCTGCCACAGCACCCGAGGCATTCCTGCCCTCACCCATCCCCTTTCCCCACGGGTGACAGCTGAGCCCCTGATGCAAAGCCGCCTTGCAGAGAGCAGGGAGATGTGGGCTTGGGGGTTAACTGGGGACAGCTCGGCTTTCTGCTTTAGATCTGCGGGTTAAAAATCACCCGCTCATGTGGCTTGATGGGGCCAGACGTGCTGGCATCCAGGAGGCGGTGGTGGAGGGCAGCTGGCAATGCCCCACCATCAACTTCACCTGCTTGAGAGCCCAGGAGGCGCATGGCCATTGCCATGGGGTCTGCAACCTTGGCTGTCTCCAGCAGCATCTCCTTCACCCTGCAGATTGCCGGCTCTCAGCATGGGAGCCCGCTGGGCTCTCCTGGGTGCTCCTATCCTCCTTCTCGCCAGCTCTGTCCCACATCCATCTCCCTCTTTCCTGTGGCCAGGACAGACCGAGTCTTACCCTGACCCTGGCCTTTTCCGCATAGCAAAAATTCAGATATGCCAACAACTCTATTGAGCCTCGAGCTGGCCATGCAAGATATGGAGTTTATTATGAGACAGCTTCAGTCAAAATGAGCTTTTCCCTTCAACTCATCCCAAAATTACAATCCTTGCATGCACAATCCTATGTGATCCAAGCAGACTTTACCCCCGTTGTTACTCACACCAGAATGCCTCTGGAATATTGTGCGCAGTAAAAACCATGGCTTTCCTTCTCGTTTTCCTCGAGCACAAGTGGAGCCCTGGCAGTGCAGCCAAAGGAAAGCCTTGTAAAACAAGGCTTCTCATAAATGTCAGCCAGTTACCACCATGGCAATAAATTGTATTCTTAGGAGAGTTTCCTCCAGAAAGTAATGTTATGCAAAATATGACTTCTCATAAGGTATATTACTTGGTGAGTGAGGTTTTTCTCTGTGAAGTCTGTGTTAAACAGCTTTCAGCTCAGCTGTAAAGCTACACCAGAGGCTCGCAGAAGGGCTTTGCAATGGTTTGCCCTGCTTGGAATAAGAGTGGTGTGGGTCATGTTCACATGGGCGCAGGGAGCGGCAAGCTTTCTCTGCTGGGCTTCCCCAGCAGATAAAACTCCGAGTGGCTGAGCTCTGCTTTGGCATTTCTCTTGTCCTCTTCCCGTCACATATCTGCTGCATCCCCAAGGTGATGAGTATGCACTGATATTCCAGTTTTAATACGAGTTTACCCACAGTAAGAGATAAAGCAGTGAGTTTATCGTGGCGGTAACATGCGATAGCAGGGATGGAAACACAGTCCAGCTCTTGCATGTTACGCTCCATTGGTTATACCAAAGTTGAAAAGAAAGTGAAAGGGGGAAGAGGTAAAATTTTCTGAGATGCTTGACTTCTTTGTGCTTTAGTGTTTCAGCAAAGCGCTTGCTTTCTGTGTGGAGCTTCTTTATCTCTCCATGCTTTTCCATCCCAGAGTTTCGTAACCCCTTAGTGCTCTTGCTGCTTAAAGAAATCCCAAATGTAAACAGCTGCTAACACGAAGTATCTGAATAAAGTGAAGCTCTGAAATGGAGCACACGATGGTTGACTAATTGCAAGGTATTTCACGAACATCACTTGCAGAAAAGGGGGAGGGAAGAGGAGTGAAGGGAAGGAAAGCACACTGCTTTCACATCAGCTTGTCCCCAGCGGTTCTGTCCATCAGCAAAGTGGCTGTCAAAGAACACGATCATTTTTATAGTTTGGTCACTTGGTTCTGTCTTGGCTGATACCTTGAAGCTCAGAAGGACCACAATGTATGTGGCTGGAGATCTGCTACAGTATTTCCTTCTATAGACAGAATGCCCAGCCATGGGGCTTTTCGATTCCCTTAGAAACAAATGATGTTTTCCAAGAGGAAAGAAAAGAAAAGAGGTAGAAGACAGACTTCCTGCTAGATATAAGCTAAAATATGATGGTCCTACCCTCCCTCCTTTCTGTTTTATTATTCCACCAGGTGTCTAAAGCCTACACTATGTGCTTTTTTGCATCATCAGATCAATACAAACTCTGTTAATTTGTCAGAGCAAGAAACGGGAACATTTCAAAGCACAGCAGGAAGGAACTGATTTAGCACAGTCTGTCTGCGTAAAAGATGCTGCTTCTGACGCTTTGCAAATTGGCTGATCTGCACTATCTATCTGCTGCACTGTGATGGATGGGGCTGTGGCCAGCTCTGGGGGGACAAGTCAGGGAACTCCTTCTGTTTCTCTGTGTAACTGGAGAAGGGAAATCAACACCAAAGCTGTATAGATGGGACCATGGGGGCAGGAGGTCATTAAGCATGAGCTGAGCAGCACCAGAGTTTGGATGGAGGATGACTACAACAAGTAAATCAAGGTTCTCCACTCCCAAGGCTCTTACCCAGAGAAGGATGTGGGGAACTGAGAGCTAAAAGGCACAAAGGCACAGCTTTCCCTTCACCGTGGAAAAGCAAAATCCCAGCAAAGAGACAAGAACCAATGGTTGAGCAGGGCTGCTGATAGAAGACAAGCACATCCCGTACCAACACAGCCTCTCAGTTTCCTTCTGGAGGGCAGGAGTCCTCTACCCTAACTCCAGAAAGTAAAAAGTCAAGTCTAGTTTAACCTAACAGTCGAGATGCCCTTGATGCTCCAAGCAGAGAGAACTTTCAGACATTTCAAGTTTGGCGAGACAATTCCCAGGTGAGCTCCATGGTTGCGCCTGCTGCTTGCTCAGCCGCTTGCACATGGTTTGTCCCATACCTGGAGCCGGGCTCTAGTGCTCAGCCCAGGAGAGACTTCCAAGGGCCAAGGGTCCTGTATCCACATCAACCCCCCAAATTTCCGATGCTTCTGAAGAGGTGCGAAGAGGTGGGACTGTGTTACACATTCCCAAGTGCTAACAGTTCATCCATACGGCAGGGAGCTGCACACGCCAGGTGTGAATATTGGCCACATGCATTTCATGGGCCAGACTTATCACAAACTCAGATAGAAATTATGTGCCAAAATACAGAACAGATTTTTTTTTTCCAAAACAGCTCAGTGTGTCACATTTTTCTGAAAATCTGCCACTTCTTCTACTGCCTGCACATGCGTCGTGACCCCCAAGCACTTGAAGAGCTGAACATGAGTGCCTTTAAAAAGCTCTGTCATTTATGTACATGAGTGTGTAAAGACTAGGGATAATATATCTCCAATACACAAACACAGATGGTGCTTGTAAGGCACATGAAGATCTGAAGGAACGTGTTTTTGTGGATGAGGCGCTGGATTAGTGTGCAGGAGAGCTGATCATACACAAGGCACGCGTGCTTTCTCTGCTCCTTGGCTTCTGCACCCTGAGGGTGGGAAAATTGATGCTGACCTCCTTTGCGAAAGGCTTTGAGATCCATTAGTGACAACAAGACCCAACACACATGTTTGTTCTCTCTAATATAGGGATGCTACAGAAAGGAAATCTCTCTCGTGGTTACTCGCGGGATCTTCCAGCTCACAGCTGTTTTTCTCAAGGAAAGGATGTTTTAGTTACCTTTATCACAAGACTTTAAATCTCCTTTGGAGTCTCCTACCCAAATATTTACACAATGGGTTTCCTAGGGAAGGCAGACTGGCGGTTGTTTTGCTCTGCGGCATGAACTGCTCTGGCGACTGCCCTCCTCTCTATTCATCTTCATTGTAACTCCAAACATTGTCTCAGAGAATCCTATAAACTGTCCGTGACAGCCCCAAAACTCGCACCGCGCTCAGCTAATCCCCGCGCGCCTGTCACTTCGTCACTAAATTATCAGCAACTGCCCACAGA